TTTTGGGAAGGGGATCCTGGGGCTGGAGAAATTGCTGTGTTTAAGAACACTTGTTGATTTTCCAGAGGACCCAGGTTCAGTTCCCATCATCCACATGGTAGCTCACAACCATCCTTTACTCCAGCTCCAAAGGACCAGACACCTTCTTTGACTCTGCAGGCACCAGATGTCCACATGTTGCTCAAACATTCATACAGGCAAAGTATACATGCACACACACACACACACACACACACACACACACATACATACACACACACACACACACACACACACACACACACACACACAAAATCTATTTTTAAAAGCCTCCTCCATTATAGTCCCAAGGAAGACACTGATTAGTTCAACCTGAACCAGTAACACTTGCCGGGAAAACACGCTACAATGACAGATGGGCAGATTCCTATGACCACAGGGGATGGGGCACAGAGTTCTTTCTTCAAATGAAACAGAGGAAGGGAACTCGGGACAGACACTAATGGTGGCTTCCATCTACTCCCACTGGATGGTCTATCTGGGCCAGGACTCAAGCATCATGGTAGGCAGGGGATGTCAGGCTGTGGAAGAAGGAAGGGACACTTGTGGTTTCCCGTCTGTGTTTCTTCCATCAGACGCCTGGGCTTCAGGGCAATCCCATGGAGAATTTGAACTCAGAATCTCCTGACAGAAGCAGACTCTAACTTTCCAAGAGGGAGAGTAGAAATGGCCTTCAGGGGAACACAGGAAAGGAGAGCTCTGAGGGGTGGAGCTTATATTCACAGATCTGCCTTTCCCAGAGCTCTGGGAAGGTGCGGCTGCTGTGCCTCTCTTCTCCTCCCCTCCCTTCTCCTGTCTTTCTTTCTCTTCCCTCTTCCTTCCCCTCCCTTCTCTTCCCTTCTTCCTCTTCCCCAATGCAGACCCAAAGCCTGGTGCAGACTATGAAAAGTCACCCAGGCGCTAACAATGCCCGCTCAGTCCAGCGCTTTTTCAATGTCTTGTACTTCACAAATAGACCACCAGAGGGCCTCAGAGTCCAACTTCTCTATGGACCGAGAGCTGCCAGAGGAGAAGGACGTCTGGGGAATTCAAGAGCAGGAAGCCCCCCGCAGCAGGACTAGAGACCCACGGACAGCTTAGGTCAAGCCGCTGGGGTTTCAGGCTGTCTGGAACCTCTAGGTTGACCAGACCTAGGACTGAGACTCCAGTCTGTATCTCTATGACTGCCTGGTTCTGGTAGGGTGTTCTAGGATGAGATGGATGATGTGGGTGTTGAGTATTTTCCTCTATGATGCCAGAAAAGCAGACCATATGAATCTACACCACTCCAAGTAGGTTGAAAAGAAGGTAAGATATAGTTTTTTTTTTAAAGGCCCTGGCCAAGTCAGCTAAGTGGCTAAGCGGCTAACCTGTCTGTGCCTCAGTGACCCCATCACAAAATTGGGTTGTCTGAGAGCTTCTCGGCACATGGCGAGAGTACAGAACAGACTGCAGTCTTTTTTGGGTGGGGAGGGGTGTTTCTAGACAGGGTTTGTCTGTGTAATCCTGGCTATCTTGAAACCAGCTCTGTAGACGAGGCTGGCCTCAAACTCAGAGATCTGCCTGTCTCTGCCACCTCCTAAGTGCTGGGCTTAAAGGTGTGTGCCATCACTGCCCAGCTCTGCTGAGGTCTTCACGTTGCTGGTCACATGGCAGGGATCCATTGTCTAAGATCCCGAGTCCCACAGGGGTCTGGGGACTCCCTAACTTAAAAAGTGACGATGCTGAACAGGAAGCCATGGTTAGCGGTCACGAGCCTGCTCCTCTGTAAGCGCAGAGATGGCTCTGTGCTCTTGCACTGCTCAGAAGTGCCCCCTGACATCCCCTCCCCTAGCTCACCCAGCTGCTCAGCCCCAGGCACAGGCAAGGTCCCCTGCTGGCTGAGGGGTGGGGGACATGTGGAACTTGGGCAAAGGGGAAGAGCACAGAGGCACCCCAGATGTGTGTGGTGTGTGACCGCATCAGGAAAAGGCAGAACATAGCAGATGGATGAGAAGGCTGAGTGGAAGGCCTAGGATGAGTCGGAGGCCAGGGATTCCCAACTCGTCCCTCTTTCCCTTTGAGAGTCACATTAGTAAGCTGGAGACATGGAAGCGGTGAACTGCTTCCCCTTACCTTGCTGAGGCAGGCTCACCAGGAAGGAGGGCCCCCGTATCCATCTAGAGATCTTCTTTCTCTTCTTCACCCAGACCAACTTCTCCAACTGAGCATCGAGACAGAGCAGGACTGGACTGGGCTAGGCTGGGGCTGTGAGGGTCCCACCTGTTCTCACCCTGTGCCTCCCCCAGCCCTCCCTCTGTGTGAGACCTCCCCCAGAGCTGCCACAGCTGGAATCATTCTCTAGCTGCCTTTCATCCTTCTAGCTCCCCACCCCCACCCCCAGTGGCCCCTGTAATTGTGGTCTCTGGCAGGCGGCTGCGGGGGCTGGGGCTGGGCTGAGGGCCAGGTCGCAGGGCAGGGCTGGGGTGGAGACTGGGGGCTGCTGGTGCTGGTAGAGGCTTGGCCATGGCATAGGTCATCCAGGTTAGGGCCCCAGATGCACACTAGGCTTCATCTACACATAGGCCCAAATCTGTCACATCTGCATGTGGGCATTGCTAGGCCTCATGACCTCGGGCCAGACCCAAGATGGGGGCACAGGCTACATCAGTACTCGCCTTCCAGAGTTTCCAAAGTGGGGAAAAATTCTTTCTCCCCCTGCACTCTGTATTCCATGGGTCCTGCAGCAGAGACCCCTCCTCTCCTTCCTCAGACAGAGGCTAAAAGGAGAAACAGCCAGCTGCTTTCCAGGCCAATAGCATTTTCCAAAGGTAGTTTCCCCTAAACATTTGGGAGATGGTTATGAATGAAGATCCCCAGGCCTTGTGCCTGGGAAAAGCTGATTCAGTACCTTAGGACCTAGAATCAATATTCCCACAATAGCCCGTACCAAGGGATGCATACTCGCTGCTTCAAGTGTGGGATACATTAAGGTGAGCACTGTGTGAGGAGCAAGGAGGTCTGCACCTTGAATATGGCCTCATTGCCCGGGCTGGGTGGAGTCTATTCCAAATCTATTCTGGGCCTCAGTTTCCCCCAACAGCCAGTTAGAACTTGATTCTCCAACCGGCAGATGCCTATCCTGGGGTTGTGCCTCCTTCCTGTATCGGGACCCTGCTGCAGTATCAGGTGATTGGTTTGATCCTGCAGTACCATGGTGGGCGAGAGTTGGGAGGGCAGCGGGTGGCCGGGGTCAACCGAGGCTCTGGTGACACCGGCTGCTTCCTGCCCCTGGCTGCTTTCCTGTTGTCCAGCCAGGCTGTGCTCTCATTGTCCCACCCCAACCCCCAGCAGCTCCAAGCTCTTAATTCTTGACAGCTGCGATGGCGGCCGGCGGCGGCAGAGATGGGAGGAGGAGGGAGAGTGTGTCACCAGCCTGCTGCTGTTCAGGCCACCCCCACCACCTGACAGTCTGAGGGCAAGAAAGGCACCTCCCCTTCAATTCTCCGAGGATGGTCAATTCCTGGAATGGGCCCCCCCTTTGTCTCTGAGCCCAGAGGCAATGACAGTCCTCTTCTCAAGCCAGGAGGGCCTCTCTTCAGAGAGAGGAGGCTCTGGGACGTGAGGGATGTGGTGGGTGTGTAGAATGGGAGACTTGTATGCCGGGCGGTGGTGGTGGTGGTGCACGCCTTTCATCCCAGCACTCGGGAGGCAGAGACAGGTGGATCTCTGTGAGTTCAAGGCCAGCCTGGTCTACAGAGCAAGATCCAGGACAGGCGCAAAGCTACACAGAGAAACCCTGTCTCGGAAAAACAAAAAAACAAAACAAAACAAAACAAAAAAAGAATGAGAGACTTGTGCCCATTTCACAGAGGACCATGCTGAAGACACAGCAGGAGTCAGATGCGCTGTCCCGACCAAGGTTAGAACCAGAAGCAGAAGCCAAAGCCTCTGGTTCTCAGGCCCTTTCCCTGGTCACAGACACATGCCCTATACTAAGCAGAGACCAGTGTTCAACCAGGACTTTGAGAGAAGGAAGGGACCCCAGGGGACTATTCAGACAGGCCCTGTAGGACCAGGACCAGGACTAGGACCAGGACTAGGGCACGTCTCAAAGCATCCCTGGGCAACAGCAAGCTGCTCTCCGTGTAAGGGACACGCTGGTGTGGTGGGACTCAGAAGTCAATCCACCTTAGCGCTTTGTCTAATTTGCTGTTTGACCTTACCTAAGTCACGACCCTCTCTGGGCCTCCGTATTTTCTTGTGAAATAAAAAAAAAGGGGGGGGAGGGGTCTGAATAAAAGGTTCTGACTGCCCACTTCTGATTAGAAGGTTCTCTAGTCGCTGCTCCCAGCTAGAGCCATCCGGAGGCACCTAGGTCCCAACAAGCATTTCCTAGAGTCCTGACCCTTCTGTCTTCGGTAGCTCACTGACGGGAAGTGGGCCCTCCACTACTCATTTCGTAAGAGACGGAGGGTGGGTGACTGCAGGAGCGCCTTTGGAAGGTCACAGGGCAAAGCGGAGGGAAAGCCAGAGGTGGCCAAACCGTTCTCCAGGACACACACACACACACACACACACACACACACACACACACACACACACACACCTGTTTCTCTAGGCAAGCTGGGGGCAAGTCCCTCTAGAAGCAGAGAAGGCCAAACGGAGGGGCCGGCCTCTCCCCTGCAGCCCCGCAGGTGTGTGTTGGGGTGGGGTGGGACACTCCCCTGCAGCTGTGTTTCAGCTTCGGTGAGGCACACACACCTCCGGTTAACACACAGACCAGCTCCCGACATCTCCGGGTGCCAAGAGCCAAGACACCAGTACCTCTCCTTCCTTCACCCTCTGCACGCGCCCCCCCTCCCCACTACACACACCACGGACTCAGTGGCCTCGGGACACGAGCACGCCACCCCCTGTCGTGACGTCACTTGGGGTAGAACCCTTAGACACTACATGGGGGTGGGGGGGCAGAGCTCCTGGAGCCAGGACAGTCACTCACCCTCCAGGCGGTGGGGCTGGGCCAGACAGTACCGCCCCCACCGCGCCCGCCTTGCACACCCTCAGAAGCGCAGGCTCGCAGCGCGGCGCTGGGGGGGGGGGCTCCCCAGCACCTCGGCCTCGAGTCCCCAGCCCGCTGCACCTCCGGGCCCCCTCCCTTACCCTCTAGAGAAACCAGGAGTTGTCGCAAGGGGGCCTCGGGAAATTCCCTGGACCCCAGTGCCAGGAGGTGCCCGGTTCGCCCGCTCCCCATCCACCCCCCCGAGGGCGGTGCCCGGGGGCGCTGCCCCATGGAGCGGGGAGGCGGGCGCCGTCTGCTGCGGGAGCCGTGACCTGAGTAGGAGCTGTGTGTCGCAGCCGCCCCACCCCTGCCGATCATGCGCCGGCGACCCTGGCTCGCCAGTCCCACCGGGCTGTGAGCCCCCCACTCCTGGCCTGTCAAGGCCCGCGCGCCATGGGCAGCGCCCACCCTCACCCCTGGCTGCGGCTCCCACCCCGGCCCCAGCCGCGGCCTGAGCTCTGGGCGCTCCTGTTCTTCCTACTGCTGCTGGCTGCCGCTGTGCCCAGGTGAGCCCTCACCTCATGCTCCGCCCTCTTGGAGAGCTAGGACCCCCGGGGGCCGCTCCGCTCCCGGTGCTCTTGCTGGGGAAGGGACCCTGGAGTGAGCGGGGAGACAGGGTCACCGAAAAGTACTGGTGTCCAATCAAAGTTAGTGAGCTACCTGCAAGGAAGAGGTTGGACTGGTGACAGGATATGGGCAGTCCAGGGAGATAGGGCAGTGCCCAGGTGGGTGATGGTAGCTAGGTCCGGAGGTGGGTATTTGGGAATAAGTGCCAGCTACGAGTTCTTTCCACCCTGGGGGCAATGCACCCCCACTCCAAGAATAAGTTCAAACTGCCTCCTTCCCCCTTTTGGATCATCCCAGACAGGAGCAGGAAAGAGAGGTAGAAGGGGGTTTCCCCATCTCAGGTGGGGTCAAGTGAGAGACTGATGCTGAAAGGCAGAGTGTGTGTGTGTGTGTGTGTGTGTGTGTGTGTGTGTGTGTGTGTGTGTGTTCTCGTAAGCTAGGTTGGGCAACCAGCAGTTTTCACAAATATAGTGTAACTATGGGAGCTTATGGGCCAATGTATGTTAGGACAAGCATATGTGTGAATGTGTGTCTCTCTGTGTGTGTTTGTAACTGTCTGAGGAAGTGTGTCAGTGGTAAGTGCTCTGGGCTTCTGCTTCCTCCATTATGTGTGCAGAAGCATGTCGGAAGAAATGCTAGTTGCTGAAGCCTGGCTTTGGGGTAGACTCCTGGGGCACCCTTTGAGGCATATGTGCTTGGGGATGAACTTGTAAAATACGGAGTTCATGTATTTACCTCCATGGGTGTGCAGCTGGGTGGATTGTGTTGGAGTGGTTGAGGAAAGGCATGTATTCCTGGGCCCAACCTTAAGAACCAGGGGTTGGGGTAGAGTGATTATGGCCTGTGGGACAGAATGTGTGTTATTAAACAGGCCCTCACAGTCTCCCACAAAACGCTTATCCACCCCACCCCATATGCCTGCAGGTCAGCACCCAACGACATCCTGGGCCTCCGCCTACCCCCAGAGCCTGTGCTCAACGCCAACACAGTGTGCCTGACACTGCCCGGCCTGAGCCGGCGGCAGATGGAGGTGTGCGTGCGTCACCCTGACGTGGCCGCCTCTGCTATCCAGGGCATCCAGATCGCCATCCATGAGTGCCAGCATCAGTTCCGGGACCAGCGCTGGAACTGTTCCAGCCTGGAGACTCGGAACAAAGTCCCCTACGAGAGTCCCATCTTCAGCAGAGGTAGCTGCTCCCCATTCTAAACTCTTGTCCTTCCCACTCGGGACCTGTACCCCAGAACCTGCTAGCTATCCCTAATGAACGCTCAAGGTGGCATCTCCCCACACCCCTGTATTCTGCAAGCCACGTTCTTTCTGGTCTCAGGAAAGTATCCGGAGTGGGGGCAGAAACATGGGCCGGAAGCGTCTCTGACTGAGGGTGGCAGACTCCATGCCTGACCACTAGACTGTATCCCCTCTGTCCCATACCTCATGCTTCAGACTCAGAAAATATCCCTGACACCTTCCTCTGTTTACCCTCTGCTGAGTAAGTAAGGTTGGAGAGCCTGTGAGGAGAGAAGTGTAGGGGAAGAGGGAGTGAGAACTCCCTGCACCACACAAGGCAAGCAGAGAAGCCTGGCCAGGTGAGTGGCCTGAACTCCTGCAGAGGCCCTGCCTGCTGTGGCTGGGTCTGTGTCTCCTTCTCACTGTCCCCCTCCCCAAAACCCTCTCTGAACCAGAGCATTGGGTGTGTGCCTGCTTGTGAGCAGTGGGCCCCGGCCCCCGGCCACCCCCCCACCCTCCCGCAAGCCAAACAGCCTTGTCAACCGGTTTCCCTCGGTGCTCTGAGGAGCCACAGCACTGCCTGTTCTCTGTCCCCAACTTCTGGATAACCCAGGCCCACCTAGACACTCCCTAGAATGGTTAAGCTGTGGGTGGCAGGTACTTTTTCCACCGCTTGCTTCAACTCTCACTGACCTCCTAGCCGAGGCCTTGAGTCAGGCCTCTGGGGCAAAGATTGCAGCTTGGGTTTGTCTAACTGGGTATAGTTCCTTCTTTCAGCTGTTTGCCAGGACAACGAGGAGACCTGGTAGCCCTGGTTCCTTAGGGGTCGAGCCAGTCTAGTTGGTAGTGGAGGAGGAGGGGCATGGCCTTAATGCCTAGGGCTTCTGCGGGGACCTGGACTTCATTGTGTCCCAACTGCAGAAAGAACCTAATCAGGGTTGTTTTCCCTTTCAGTAGGACCCGCGCTTGCACTCCTTGGGCCCCCAAGTTAGGGGACACCTCCGCCTCCCCCTGCTCAGCCCCAGGCCGCTGCCCCGCCCCTGCGCGCTCCCTCCTGCCTCCCCCGCGCGCCTCGGGCGCTGTTTCTACCCGGCCGAGCCCAGCCCGACGCGTGTGGCGGCATGCAGCCGCGAACTAATCCCCGCGGGCCGCAGCAGACTGCTCCGCGCCGCTCTCTGAGAGCACACCCCACCCCCCCACACACACACCTTGCCCCGCGCTCGCATCCCTCTAGCCCCGCACCGTCAGATCATCCCTTCCCGACAGTTGGGGTGTCGGGGGGGGGCATGGCTGCAAGGGATCCCCTGCCCGCAGGCCTGCTCCACTCCCTCTGCACGACACCCCACCACCCACTCCTCACCGCCCGCGCTCGCTGACACCAAGTGGCAGACAGGTCTCGGCATCTTCCAGGCTCCAGCTGGGCCAGACCGGTGCTCACCGCCTCCGAGCCACCCTCTGCCACTCCGGGGGGTTGCTGGGTCACCTACTCTTCCCCCACAGCTGCATTTCTTCCTGAGCTCCAGCCTCAACTTCTGCACACGGGTGGCTCCGCAGGCTTTGAGGGTCTTTCCGCTGCCACCACCAGAGAGGCGAACCTGGGCTAACTCTTTAAGTCCTCTCCTGGCCTCAATGCACCCCGCCCCCCAAGTCCTGATTGTCTCTAGCCTGAATCCAGGCGTCCTGATGGGGTTCCAATCAGGCCACTGCCACCCGGTGAAGGACCTGGGGTCTTTGGAGGTTAGGGGCGAGTTTGGAGCCGCGCGGGTTTGGCGCGGGGCCAGGTGCTTTGGGTTCACCTGCAGTTTAATAAGCGGGAGGTGAGCTGGGGGGACGGTGGGGAGAGAGGTTGGGGGTGGAGGGGGAGACTTGCCAGGGCTAGCCAGGGCGGGGCGGCACCTAGTGCTGAGAGGGGGCGGGACTGTGGCTCCAGGACTCCGCCAGCCCAGTGGGGCTGGGTTCTCTCCTTAGGCCTAGGAACCCCGCCCTACCTCAGTGGCTTCTGCCCCCCCCCTCAATCCGTTGCAACACCTCATTTCTACCTCTCCCTTCTTAGTGGGGACGGCTCTGGGCTTTTGGAAAGACAATTACCATCCTCCCAACCCCCTTTGCCTCCCCACTGCCACGGAGCCTGCCCTCATATCTAGCTCCTTTGGGCTCATTTCCGGGTCCCTTTCTAGGCCCTCTTCGCCAGGACTCACTGAATTTGAATGCCAGCAGGCAACTCTTGGTGGAGGCCAGCCCCTGGCTATCTGATTCCTTCCTCTATCTCATCATGATCGTTGTGGAGCCTGTGGACCTGGCTCTACGCACACACACACACACACACACACACACACACACACACACACACACATACATACACACACACACACACACATACATACACACACACACACACACACACACACACCAGTGTACTATCAGGGGCTGACCCTTCTGATCCAGGCTGCCAAGGAAAGTTCTTTTAAAACATATTCTGAAAAAAAAAACAACAACATATTCTGCTGTAATTAATTTCAAGGACTACTGAGGGTAAGTGGGGGTTCCTTAGGTTTCCCTATGGCAGTGCTGTTGGCACACTATCCTCCTGAAACCTTCCCAAAGAGAGACTGGGCTGGACAGATGGGTCTAAGGAAGTGGGAGGGTAGAAGGTACGAAGGGGAGTGCCCAGGAATACAACCAGGCTTTACCTAACCAGAGAGCTGCTGCAGTCCACAGGGCAAATGGGGACAGGCATGGGAGTCTCCAAGGGGCTTGGCAGAGTGAGGGGGGGAAAGCCGTGAGAGGGCCCTAAAATCATGCTAGCTTCTTAGCCCAGCCCCAAGGGCAGCAGTGACCTAAGTGACAAGGGCATGGTACCCTCAGCATCTTGTACTGTGAACCCAGACAGGTTGATGACTGCCCGCCCGGGAGCTGGCCATAACACCTGTTAGGGGATGAACAGAGAACCCTCCATCAGTCCCTCAGGAGGTGAGGACAAGGGGATTTGAGGAAGGAGGTTCAAAGGGCCTGGGCTTAAGTCCTAGTGTGTCAGGAGTGAGAGATCAGAGAGAGACTAGAGGAGAGTGTGTGTGGTAGACTCACAATGCCGGTCCAGGGAGCTGCCACTGTTAGGTGCTGCTAGCCCTACTCAGCCACATTCGGAATGAATGTAAAGAATGGGCCTGACATCCTCCAGCAAGCCGGGATCCCAGCCCAGGAAAAATCAGCAGTTAGAGTAGCCATAGTCTGCTCCTTCTTTCTCCATTGTTTCAGAGAATACAGTTTTCAGAGCAGGCATCCAGGGGTTGGGGAATGTAGTGGCACTTAGGGAAACTGAGGCACAGATAATCATATCTCAGGGTCATCTTAAGCCCTAGTATTTTGATGACATCCCAATAAATTAGCCAACATGTCTTAAGCACGTAGTATGTGTTGGGCATTGTACTAAAACACAATGTTTTAGGGTCCTCAAATGGTCCCCACTTGGTAGGTCCTATTATTATCTTTACAAATGAAGCTAAGAGAGGTTGGGTAATTTGTTATTAGTCACACAGTTTATAAATGAGCAGGAGAGCCAGGACTCCACACAGTCCACCTGACTTTAGAGCTCCTGCCCAACCCTCTTCTATACTGTACCCCAAACTACCAGGCCAATGCCCACCATGCCCAGAGGTGAGCTGGAGCATTGAGAGTATACTCCAAGTACTCCAAGAAGTGAAGAACACATACACCTATGTTTATGTAAACACATCCACTCTGTACTGTGCCTAACTGTTCCCATATGCACATCTCTCTCTCTCTCTCTCTCTCTCTCTCTCTCTCTCTCTCTCTCTCTCTCTCTCTCTCTCTCTCTCTCCCACCCCAGGCTTAGGAGCATGCATAGATGATTTGCAAGGAGTGAATGGGGACCAGACCTCTATTCTCCCCTCCTCCCTCTTTGACTTGAATGGGCAGAGCTTAAGCTTCTCTGGCCCCTCCTTGTTCCCACTGGCCCTTAAATCATCTTCTCTTCATACTCCCCTGTCCTCCAAGCCTACTCCCCCGGCCCCCTTCCTGGCCGTTGGCTGCGGCCTATAGTAGCAGCTGACTCCACTTAGATGCTGGCAGTCTCTGTCCCAGATCAAAGGCAGGGCGGCTAATTGTGCATCTTAACAAGTCCCCCCCTCCCCGCTCCGGGCAGCCCAGCTGGCCATGGCCCCACCCTTTTCCCCCTCCAGCTGGCCAGATGGCACAGGGCCTACATCTGCCCAGACAGTTGGGGCCAAGACCGAAACTGGGGCCCTGAATGGGAGCTGGGGCAGACCCAGTGGGCAGGACTTCTCTGTGCATGGATGCTTAGAGCAAAGAGTGACCATGCATGCCCTGGTCACCTCCACACGTGGCTGTGACAGCTGTCAGAAACATGTCGTGGGAAGGCATCTTGAGTTGCATGGGGTATAGAGTTCTCTAAGGTTGTGAGTTACATTTTTCCAGATTCTTCCGTGCCTCTTCACCATGACAAAACCTTGAAGATGTAGTTGCCCCTGAATACCTCTATGGACTTGATGCCAAGACTGCATAGAGTCATAGGAACTGGAAATTGGGATGTCTGGGTTTCTTTCTCAGCAGGAAGACTCAGTTGGAGCCCATGTCCCTCAGCAGAAAATTCTTGGCCCTGGGAGGTGAAAAAGAGCTAAGTGGGGGCTTGCTCAGCTCCATAGCCTCTGTGGCTTTGGGATTTCCAAGTTTGCATTGTGTGTGTGTGTGTGTGTGTGTGTGTGTGTGTGTGTGTGTGTGTGTGTGTGTGTGTTTGGTGGTTCATGTTTTGAGGGGGTGGTGTTGAGGTCTAGGCTGCCTCTGGAGGTCTGAGTATTGTCATGTGTCCTAAAACAGACAGGCTGATGACTCTCTCCCAGCAGTAAGAGGCATGCTTAGAGCTCCAAAGATAAAAGGCAGGGGATAAATGCAGGGTGCATGTCCTGGAGTTTTGGGTCTACCCTTTACCCTTAGGCTCCACCAGCTCACAGCAGTTTCTGCTCCCCTGGAGCTTGTGCCAAGTTCCAAGATCCCCTTTGAAGGCTGCAGATCAATCTTCATCCCCTCCTGTCTGGTCCTAGCTATGCCCCTTATAAAAAAAGAAAAATGTTACCAGGATGTCATGAGCTAGAAAGAGAAATGAATCTGCTTTGTAGGCATCCACCAATCCAAATGGTTTGTTCTAGACATGGGTCATGAGCTGCTAGGCTCTGTCTTTGATCAGGATGAAACAAAAAACAATGATGTAAAAAAAAAAAGTAGCAGAATTGCACGAACGCCTTAATAATAACAGCAATGTTTATGCAGTACTTGCTATGAGTATGACACCATTCCAAGTACTTTAAATTTAATAACCCCTTCAATTCTTGGAACAACAGCTAGCTAGATAACACTTGTTTGCAGAGAAGGAAACTGAGGCACAAAGAGATTAAGTTTCTTGGCCAAGGTCATACCGTTATTAACACCTGGTCAGTAGAAGACCCAAGATTCGAAACCCTGGTAATATGATTGCAGAAATCAGATCTTAGCTGCTAAAACACCCATGAAATCTTTATTATCATTTGTCTGGGCAAGAAGAGGCGATAGCTTTGCAGTGTGGGGCGGGAATGAGCTAGGAGTTCTTTCGAGTCCTAGATAGCTTTTTAGAGCTTGTAAAGCCTCTCTGAGAACATGTCCTCCCAGTCTTTGAGGCTGGAGTGGAAGGATCCTGTTTCTCTGAACCTCTGGTATCCTCCAAGGCCATCACCCTCCTGACACATTCTGAGTTTCTTCCACAGGGGTCTATGGCATAGATGGATTCTTCACTTTGTGAAGACAGTTCTTCTGGCTTCTCTCATTGCCTGCTGTCTCCAGGGTCCAGAGTTTAGGTACAGGCTTGTACTAAAAGCTGATTCTAGCTAGTACTTTCTCAATGGAGAATAAGCAAGAAGTAGCCTGCAGGTCCAAGAGGTGGACCTACCTCTTTGAGTAGGCCTCTCCTGGTAGAGGTCCAGGGCCCTCTCAGGAGATGGCTCAGGCTGGGGTACCCAAGAGGAAAACAGGACAAACAGGCACTGGGCCAGGTTAGCACATCCCCAGGCCCTGTGAGTGTCTCAATCAGAGAGAGTTCTTTTGCCTCCTAAGCCTCTAATGAGAAGCAGAATCTGTCTTCCCACTCAGTTAGCAACCCTGCCTGCTACATGCCAGATGCCACTTAGGACACTGGGTTCACCTGAACCACCCTTCCTTCAGAAGGTATCAGCAGACCCAAGACAGAAAGTAGGCAGGCTGGCTGGAATATGAGAGGGTACTCACTTCTTTCAGCCATGTTCTGTGGACCAGGATGAAAACCACCACCAGAGAGGGAGGGTTCCAGGCTCAGCCTAAAGTGAGGACACAGCAGCCTGCAGTCTGAGGTAGATGATCTTAGCCTGCTGCCCACTGGCATCTCCCGGGGTTTGGAATTCCATCGCTTGTAATGTACTCTTTGGGTTAAACTTCACCCTCTTTCTCCAGGCTATTTTAAAATTACAGATATCACCGTGAAAGGTAATAGATGAAGTTCCTGATCTGAAAAAGAATGTGTTTGCCAGGCATTTTCTGCCCTGGAGGAAAGATTCCAAGCTTGCTAAGGAGGTGTTAATGAAAAAGAGAAGGGCGTGTAATTCCTGCCCCCCCATTCCCCCTACACCCCCTTTGAATCTCACAGCATACTAGTAAGCCATCTACATCCAACTATATCCCCAGCCGTTCCTACCATGTTTTCCTAGTGTTGCCACAGGTTTTCTTTTTCCTTAATGATTTGTTTTTATCTTATGTGCATTGGTATTTTGCTTGCATGTATGTCTGTGTGAAGGTGTCAGATCCCCGAGGACCTGGAGTTCAGACAGTTGCAAACTGACTGTGGGTGCTGGGATTTGAACACGGGTCCTTTAGAAGAGCAGCCAGTGCTCTTAACCGCTGAGACATCTCTCTAACCTCTTGCCACAGGTTTTCGAGAGAGTGCTTTCGCCTACGCCATAGCAGCTGCCGGGGTGGTGCACGCAGTGTCCAACGCATGCGCCTTGGGTAAACTACAGGCTTGCGGTTGCGACGCCTCCAGGCGTGGGGACGAAGAAGCCTTCCGTCGGAAGCTGCACCGCCTGCAGCTGGACGCGCTGCAGCGCGGTAAGGGCCTGAGCCACGGGGTCCCAGAACACTCTGCTCTGCCCCCTGCCAGCCCAGGCCTCCAGGACTCCTGGGAGTGGGGTGGCTGCAGCCCGGATGTGGGCTTCGGAGAACGCTTCTCCAAGGACTTTCTGGACTCCCGGGAGCCTCACAGAGACATTCACGCGCGCATGAGACTCCACAACAACCGTGTCGGCAGGCAGGTGAGATTCACGGTCACTGCTCCACTGCTAAGCAGACTCCGCATCCACTCCCGGGTAGCTCCTCCTTCTAGAAATCACCCTGTCTTCCCAGTTCAGTAACCTCACAGCCCTTTCTTAACTCAGCCAGCAAAAATGCTGTGGGGACCTCCTACTGTGCGCTGGAGCATCGCAGTGGACCTGGGAAATAGAGCTGAAACAGCCCCGTGCTCAACAACTTGCTCCTCCCATTTTCTCTGATGACCAACAGAGAAAGGTGTAGGCTGGCATTCAGGACCTGGGCTGCCACAATCCCCTCCCCTGTAGAGCCAGAACATCACCATCTTGAGCTTTCTCTTCAGTCTCCCAGTAGGGGATTCCTGTCGACTGAGGAGGACCTCTGTTACAGCGTTCTACCTCCTTTCTACTTTTTCTGGAATGCTCACACTACCTTAAAGTTCCTTCGGGTAAAAGTGACACCACCAATGATAATACACACCGAGACACATAAACACCGAAGGGAGGAAGAGGAGAATAGATTGAATTTATCACACCTTACTATGCATTTGTCCTGAGCCATCAGCCTGCCTACTACTTACCTATAATGTCAACACTCTTAATAAGTATGTGCTCAGATCTGGAAACCAAGGCACAGAATGATGGAGAAACTTGCCTGAGCTGGAGAAGTGACAGAGGCTGGCTCCATCCGCAGTCAGTGGAGCTCATATCTCCTCTTGACCCTTCCCGTCTGCTCAGCCCAGTTCCTGGCTTCCTCACTATCCGCTCCTTTCCTCTTGGCCTCTCAGCCCACTCCAGGTGCATCAGCCCTCTCTACAGCTGATTCAGCAATTTCCACCTTGGCTCAGGGTGAGGGTGAACTGAGGCATGTTTTACCCTCAGGTCCCATCCAGCTCCCACCCTGCCATGCCCTGTGCGTGGGGCTCCTTTCCCAAGCTCCTGATACCACCCCAGCCCAGACCAACAGGGCCTCCTCCTTGTCCTTGTTAAAGTGGTTAATTAATGGCTGCAGCCCGTGGGAAGCAGATGTTCTGGAACTGTTGGCCTAAGGAAGCTTGGGGGGGGGGGTGAAATCTTGGGGGGGCGGTTCCCACGTGGTGCTGACACTACAGGGCTATACATGTGGGCTGTGAAGCCCTTCAATAACCAGAGCAAGAGGCTCCCTTGCTTGTGGCCTTCTTGAGCAGTTTTGAAGACCCCCAGATCTTTGCTTTCCTTAGAAGTATTTGAAGCGGGGGTGGTGTGGTGTCTATGAGGGTAACACCAAGGGGTTCTTTGGGAGGAGATTGAAGAAGACGTTGACCACTGAGTGAGTGGCCAGTAGGTTTCCCGGGAACTCGTCTGCTCCCACAGGGCTGACAGTTTGGCTGTCTGGGTTCTGTTCTGCATTTAGGGAATGCTTTGGCACCTGTTGTCACTCAGTATGAAGAGAGTAAGCTCCAGTTGATACAACGGGAGGGGGCTATCTCCATAGCTCCTGTCCTCTCCCCACACCTGATCGCCCCCCCCCCGCAAAGAGCTGCAGGGCACAGCTGGAGGCTGGGTGGCGGTGGAAGGGGGCCTTTCTCACCACCTGGAGGGAGGCCAAAGGCTTTGGGGTTGGGATGTAGGTGAGCAGGCGTCTCCTTGCTCCAGGGAAAGGAGAGGGAATTTCCCTGAAGATTTAGGATCCCCGGGGCTCAGGAAGCAAGAACCCCCAAGCCCAAAGGGCCCCCTTGCAGTTGCTAGAAAGGCTGTCGAGGAAGGAAGGAGCTTTAAGGAGGGAATTCCCCCCAGGGCCTAGCCAGGTGGGAGGTGGGTGGGAGGGCTGCAGAAGAGCCTGAACAATTTCTCAGGCCCAGATTCAGACCTCAGTATTTGCTTCTGTACAATGGGAGCCGGTTTCCAGCCTCTGTGGCCCGAGGAGGGCTGGGACGCTGGCTGCCAGCCTCACCCCCTCTCGGTGCCTCCCTCTGCAGGCGGTGATGGAGAACATGCGGCGAAAGTGCAAGTGCCATGGCACCTCAGGCAGCTGCCAGCTCAAGACGTGCTGGCAGGTGACGCCGGAGTTTCGTGCCGTGGGGGCGCTGCTGCGCAACCGCTTCCACCGCGCCACGCTCATCCGGCCGCACAACCGCAACGGTGGCCAGCTGGAGCCCGGCCCCGCGGGGGCACCCTCGCCAGCTCCCGGCACTCCGGGGCTGCGCCGAAGGGCCAGCCACTCCGACCTGGTCTACTTCGAGAAATCGCCCGACTTCTGTGAGCGCGAGCCTCGCCTGGACTCGGCGGGCACTGTGGGCCGCCTGTGCAACAAGAGCAGCTCGGGCCCGGACGGCTGCGGCAGCATGTGCTGTGGCCGCGGCCACAACATCCTGCGCCAGACGCGCAGTGAGCGCTGCCACTGCCGTTTCCACTGGTGCTGCTTCGTGGTCTGCGAAGAATGCCGAATCACCGAGTGGGTCAGCGTCTGCAAGTGAGCGGGCCCGGGCTCCTCGGGGTCTCAGGAAAGGTTCGCCACCTGGCGCCTGGCTTCTGCTGCTAGCGACTATCTCGGCCAGGCAGCAGCATCCTTTGGCTCCTGAGAGAGGTGGTTGGCTCTTCCTGCTCTCAGGATCTGCAGTCAGCAGACAGTCTAGACCCGACTGACACCCACTCCGTGGGTTCCCCTCTTCCGGCTCAGGCTCCTAGTTCGGACAGCTGGGAGTGATGTTGGAGACCGCCCCACACCCTAGGACATGTCACCCAAACAGCCCAGCCTGGCAGGCCTATCACCTCCTGTCATCTTTTCTCCCCTTCCCCAGGAGCAGCAGGCAGTGCACTGAAGCTGATGGGTACCGGCGGAAGAAGGCTAAAGAAGACTAAAATGAAGAAACAGGCATAATCAGGCTGAAGCGATTCTACAAAGGCCCCCCAGATACTCTCCTGCGAAGGCTTCTGCTCCTATCATTCATTTAACAGATATTTATTTTGCACTCTCTTTGTGGCACTCTCTGGGGAAAGAGAAGCCTTCTGGAGTTTACAGGCTTACTAAGGGAAGTGGACAATAAACCAGTAAACACACAAACAAGATTATTTCTGGCAGTGCTATGGGCTATGGGGGAAATTGACCAGGGCACTGGATATACACTGATTTGTGCAGAACGGAGCCCTTTCCGCTAAAACTATCTGCCAGGGAGACTTCTGAGTTGTGATATACATGCTGAGACCTGCAAAGCGAGAAAGAGTCGTACATAGACGGGGAAGGGCTTTCCAGACAGGCTACAGAAACCCGAAGCTCCGAGGGGAGAGAGACTCCACCTGTTGGAGGAGCAGCAGAGCAGCCTCTGCGTTTGGAGAGTAGAAATCAAGGGCTGGTGGGAGAGATCGGAGGTTGGGGCAGCTGGGGTAGGAAGGGGGTTTTCTTTAAGAAGAATCTGCAGAGAGTAAGCAAGCAGTCTTAAGCAGTTGTACTCTGATTCCCACATCTTCGGGGATCTGGCTGAAATGGAGACAAGATGGTAGCCAGAAAGCAGGTTATGGGGACGACAGCTAGTACCCAGCTGAAGCCTGGATTGGGTGACAGCGGTAGGGATGTCCAGAAGGGGAACGGGATCCAGGGATCCAGAGCCCTCAGTCAGAACTCTAACCGCCCACTTTGTACCCGAGCCCTTTGCCACAAGCCAGGACGAGTGGCTGTGCCCAGCAGCAACCGACAGCAGAGACAGGAGGCACTCTGAGAAGAGTAATCCTGGGCAAGACCCAGCTCAACCCAGCCTAGCGCCCCAGGGAGCAGGTGGGGCCAGGAGGTGCGGCTGGGAATAGGGTGGTGGGGGAGGGTGACAGACTCACCCTCTGGAGCTGGGCTCTGGAGTCCAGGCAGGAAAGCTGGGGGTGGGTAGGCAGCCTTCCTGAAACCCCCTCCCCCGTTGCCCCAGAGCCACAGCTCAAGGTGTCGCTTAGCAGGTTAAAACCCCTCCCTGATTTTATACTTCCACCAGGACACTGTTGAGCTGGAATTTGCGTTCATGCTTGTACTCACTTTGGCTCAAGTCTGATGATTTTCTAGAACAGACCCTAAGGATCGCAGGCAGAGCACAGTTTACCATATCCAGGCCCACTGTTCCAGTGATCATCTGATGGCATCCATCTTGCCAAACCAAGCAGAGGCAAAGTCTTGTTCCAAAGGCCAGTTTGCACGGGACCCCTCCCATATTTCCTTGCCCTCATCCCTTGTGGGGGCGACTCTGGAACATGCACCTCTGTTGGCCCTCCAGATGGAAGAATGGGCCCACTAGATAGTTCTCATCAACTGTCCTCTAACTGCTCTGTTTTGGCAGCTCCCAGGCATGCCTAAGGCATCAGGACCTCTCAGGCACCCAGTTGGACTGCCTCGGTGGAGAACAGGGTTTCTCGACCCATTCCCCCCCCCCAAAAAAAAAGCAGCCCTACAGGCGGGTGGGTGAGTGTCTCTGGGGGAGGAGGAGCAGACAGACACACCTGCCTCATTCCTTTCCTCTTGTTCATCCTGGAGAGAACTACAGGGGCTGGGTTCCCCCCTTTCCCCTCCCAGCCTAGGGAGGAAGAGAGATGTGCTGGGGAAATTGAAGGATGGAAGCATAGTCCCAAGCCCGGCAGAAACCACTACAGTGTTAGCCATGACCTTGTCCTCTGCCTTTCAGAGCTTGGGGGAGGGAGACTGGAAGTGAGCATTATAGGATGGAGTTTGGGAATCAAGTGGAAGCAGTGCACTGTAGAACATGTTGTCTGGAGTGAGAGCCTGGCAGAATGGGACAGAGGATGGGACACTGAACTATACGAGTTCCAGGGGGGCAGAGTCCGCGGTTTGATAAACGCTAGTATGAACCGTAAAGTTGGGAAAGGGACAAAGTTATTTTCTCCTAAGTTACCACCCAGCCTCACTGGTCTGGACCAGAAGCAGAGTCCTGGGACCAAGGCTGGGCCCTGTAATAGCAGAATGCCCTAAGGGACTCCTTAAGGGGAAGTGTAAAGGTGATGGAGGTGGGAAGATACTGGACTTTTATACACTAGCTGAAGGTACAGTGGGAATGAGATGCTGATCGAAAATAATTGGAAATGGGCTAAAAGGAGCGCAAGCTTAGGGTGAAGGTGGCCTGGAGAACTTGGAAATCACCAGAGGTGACATTTGGAATGTGAACAGAAAGTAACCAGGGATCATTCCAAGGATGAAAAGACCTCCCTTGTCTTTGACCCGAGGAACACTTTGGTTATTTCTGCGAGGGCAGAACTTAGTGGCGTCTACCGTCCCCAAAAGAGGGAGGTAGAGAACTAACAGCAAATGAGTGTGGTGCACAGTGCTGGGGTTACAGGTCAGGGAGAAACAGCCCGCTGGAGTGTGATGGGAACCCACGCATCTGGCTCTCCAGTCGCCCAAGGGGACCTAAAGGGGAAGGGCATTCAAAGATGGACTTGCCAGCTGCAGAGTACCTAGGTGAGGAGCAAGGTCAAGGCTGACCGTCACTCAGGAGCTCCCTCTCCCTCTCCATTCTCTGAATTAGTGCGCCCCCAGCTAGCCTCTGGCAGGGGGCCTTCCACTCTGGAGAGTGGCCAGACCCGTTTCAGCCCTCCTCCTCCCTCCCCACCCCCTTCTCATGTGGTTGCCGGCAGCTGCCTGCGGTCGCCCCATCCCTTGCGCTCAAGGCACGGGGACTTTCCAACAGGGGAAAAAATGACTTAATGAGAGTGGGAGCCGGGGGCGGGAAGGACAGGTCCCTGTAATCACAGCTCCACTGTGGGGCCTGCGTACCTCCCGGTCCTTCCTCAGCTTCCTGCTACCAGCGCCCGCCTTGGGTTCTGCTGGGGGAGGGGCACAGGCTGGCGACAGGGAGATCCCTTTCCAGGTGCCAGGCTCTCTGGGACCCTTGGGCTGCCTTTTCTTTCTGAGTGACTGAGGACGGAACCTGGGACACCCCCAGGATCCCTCTTTGGATCCAGTCCAGAGTCCTTTGCTGGTGAATTAGAAGAGTAAGGGGTACCGAGGACAACCCTTTGCTGGTTCGCGACTGCGCACTTCGCAACGCCCCCGGTTGCTGTGGCAACCAGGGCAGCCGAGGTGTGTCCGCGGGCCTGGGAGGTACCCACCCCCCCTTCTCGCCGCCAGCGGGGCCAGGCCCCGCTGCTGTGGTGCGCGGGGGGTGGGGGTGTGCCGTTACCATGGCAAGGGTGAGCTAGGAGGGCACATTCTTCCCCAGGGTGGGAGCGCCCTGGGGACACGAGAAGGGGGGTGACGGGGGCGGCAGAAAGGGGAGCAGAGGATGGTCAGAACAAGGGAGGAGTCTCGGACAAGACGAACCAGGGTTTCTGAGGTTGGGGCGGGGGAGTTTGGAATCTGTTCTTTCCCCTACTCCAGTTCTTTTGAGGTGTCCCTCTCCTCCTCCTGCACCCTTCTTGGGGTTCCCGGCCTCCGTTTCCAAGGAAAGGACTTCCAATAACTGACCAAAACCCCCTTTGACTGTTCCATGTCGGGCCTGTGGAACTAAGAGGCCTCTCCCACTCCACTTCGAGTAGCATTGAAGCTCATGCAGCTAGCCACTGCCCTGAAATTAAGCCCCTCGCCCGCCCCTGTGCCACCCACCCCAGCCTCTGCCTGGCCCAGTCCGCTGTCAATTACAGCTTTGCCCAGCAGGATTACCTCGAAGACCCAGGGAGAGGCTGGGGCTGGGAACAGCAGGCAAATCAAGAAGAGGGTGGGGTCCTGGGGGTGTCCTTGACCTCCAGAGTCCTTATCTGGGGCTTCAGGCTGCAGCCTTGTGTGTGTGTGTGCGCGCGCGCGCGTGTTGCAACGTCTGGGGTTCAAGGCTGTGTGTACTCAAAAAGTTCAAGGCCCTTAAGGCTTATTCTTTTTTTTCCGCCGCAGGCGGCCGCGTGGGTCTCTCCTGGCCCCACGCCCTGACCGATGGACCCAGCTTGGTCTTGCTGAACCAACCAGAGGGCAGCCGCCAGGAAGTAACTGGTGTTTTGTGGAAGGCACAAAACGGCGCCCCCTTTGGGCAAGAGGGTTCCCCTTTTCTGTTCGGCGAACGAAAGCAACCAGGGAGTCTGCAGAGGATAGACATTGGAGCGTTCGGCCACCACCCAGTCCCCTGCCGTTCCTTCCTGCTCTTCCCTGCGGGGCTCGAGTAAAGCTTCGCGCCTCCCGCAGTCCGACTACTCACATCTGGCCGGCAGCTGGGAACCGCCCACCACAAACTACTGAGAACACGGCGCCCTCTGTTGGTGCTGAGTAGTGACACACCAGGGCCTGTGTCGTGCGCCTCTGCGACAGAGGGTCCAGGGTTTCGCTCCCATCCAAGGGTCTCGGGTCCACTCATTCGGTATCTTTTGCTGGCGGAAAACCTTCACCCTCTGACTCGCGTAGCTCCAAAATCGTACTGTGAGGGCCCTTAGCTTTCTGCCCGTCACGATCCATCTTGCCGATCCTCTCTTCTGCATGCACGTGTGCCTAAAACCCAGTCCAGGGACCAAGCTTCTCCTTACCTAACAAGGTCACAAGCTCTGACTTCAGGTTCTGAGACCTGTCCTTCCACGCCCCACGATCACTCAGTGCTGAACGTGAAAATCCTAAATAAGGAACACTGTTACATAAATAACCACACATTTGTTCAATAGAATTCCTTGCTGTGTCCTTTAAAATGAGGTGGTTGAAGAATAAATATTTAGTGTCTGATTTAGTATTTGCTCTATACTGGGGAAGGATACATTAACAAAAAGTACAGGGCAGGGTCTCTCTTCAATGTAAGAAAATCCAATAGGCATCCAGGAGCTGAATTATTTTGCATTAGGGATTATAGGGGGTTTAAAATTTGTTCACGTTTTGGTCGAAAAGTCAAAATCACATTATATATATATATATTTTTTTGAAAAGGTTTAAAACACTCTAGAGGCAGAGGCAGGTAGATATCTCTGAGTTCGAGGCTGGCTGGTCTAAATAGCTATGTAACCTAGGCCAGTCAAGGCTACAAAGAGAGACCTTGCTTAAAAAAAAAACAGGGAGGGGATTAAAATTAAAAAAATAAATTATCTGTATGTGCAGTGGCCCATGCAGCTAGAAAAGGGCATCATTTCCCAGAAGCTGGAGTTAGAGGCAGTTGTGAACTGCCCGACAGGGGTGCTGGGACCCAAACCCAGGTCCTCTGGAAAAGCAGTACCTGCTCCGAACCACTGAGCATCTCCCCAGCCCCACATTGTGTTATTAAAATATGCCAAATTTTGGAAAGAGTCCTTGTAAAACTAGGAATTGGGAGACCTGACCTTCCAATAAGAACCAGTATGATTGGCCTGGCAGGCGGTGGTGGCACATGCCTTTAATCCAAGCACTATCTGGAGATAGGCAGATGTTCGAGGCCAGCCTGGTCTACATAGGAGTTCCAGGACAGCCAGGGCTGTTACACGGAGAAACCCTATATTGAAAAACAAGCAAACAAACAAAAGAACTAGTATGGTTTTGCTATTTGGATTTTCTTTCAATAATCCAAAAGTTTGTGGGACTGGAAAGTCGGCTCAGCAGTTAAGAACACTGACTGCTCTTTCAGAGGATCTGGGTTCAGTTCCCAGAACCCACATAATGGTTCACAACCATTTGTAACTCCCGTTCTAGGTGATCTGACACTCTATTTCAGCCTCTGTGGACCCCAGGCATGCACATGGTACACACATACATGAGTCAAAATACTTACAAAATAAGTAAATCTAATTGTGTGTGTGTGTGTGTGTGTGTGTGTGTGTGTGTGTGTGTGTGTGTGTGTGTGTAAAACAGGGTTTCTCTGTGTATCCCTGGATATTCTGGAACTCACTCTGTAGACCAAGCTGGCCTTGAACTCAAAGATTCACCTACATCTGCCTCCCTACTGCTAAGATAAAGGTATACGCCAACAAAAATTTAAAAAGAAAAAAATTAATCCTAATAATTTGTAATGGGAACAAGTGTCTAGTCTCAGAGAAGTTGAAACCAATAGGTTGTTAGAAGGGTCCTTGTGGTGGTTTGAATAAAATGCGCTCTCCCTCCCAACTCATATTGGAGGCATGGCCTTGTTAGAGGAAGTGTGTCATTGTGGGTGGCTTTGAGGTTTCAGAAGCTTAAGCTAATTCCAGTGTCTCTCTTTTCATGCTGCATGTGGATCTGGTTATAGAACTCTTGGCTACCTCTCCAGCACCATGTCTGCCTATATACCATCATGCTTCCCACCATGACCGCGATGGACTAAACCTCTGAACTGTAAGCCAGTTCCAATGAAATGTCTTCCTTTAAGAGTTGCCATGGTCATGGTGCCTCTTCACAGCAATAAAACCCTAACTAAGATAGTCCTTGATTCTGTATATACCCAGTGTCGTCTGTGGCTGGGATGATATAATTATTACGTTTCATTGCAAGCCATGTATGAAGATACTGCCACAATGAACAATACAGAAAAAGCCTAATACATTCTTCTTCTTCACCCTCCCCAGTCTCTGCACCAATGAGCATCAACTGTCCTCTCTTGTGACCCCAAAACGATGTTTTTGGATGTCATTCTGCCTGATTTTCCTCTCACTCTTCTCTGTCTCATGAATGTTTGCTCCTTTGTTGCCTGCCTGCACTCACCAGATACTGGGGATTGAATGCAGAATTTCACAGATGCTAGCCAAGTACTCTACTACTGACCTACATGGAAACCATCTGAAAGGTACAGAAATGTTAGAACAGTCGTGGAGAATGCTCTCCTTTGCTGAACCATATGAGTAAGTTGCCCCCATACAACCCTATTATCCCTAGTGCTTTGGATGTAAGTTGCCCACATGTGACCCTATTACCCTAGTACTTTCGATATGTATGTGTTCTACAAATAGACATTCTCCTTCTAACCCAATGTGATGCTCCCAATCAGGAAATTAGCATAGCTGCATCAATGCTGCCCAACTCCCAGCCCTTATTAGCCATTTGGGCCAATGCTATCCTTTGTAACAAAAGGATTTAGTCCAGAATTATTCATCACACTGAATTCTGTCTTCCCAGTGTCCTTCCATCTGACACAATTACAAAGCTTTACTTTCATGACCGGGACAGTTTAGAACATTACAGACCCATTGTATTGTAGAACATTCCTCCATGCGGATTGTCTGTTGTTTCTTCATGATTAGATGTGGGTTATGTGTCTTTGGCAACAATACTGCAGATGTTGAATCTTCCCCTCAGTGCCCCATTATTTATTCCGATGTTTCAAATTCCCTAGATTTGATCCAGATACCGAGTTAGTTTCTGTCTCAGTAAATTCATTGAGCACTTCCTTATTTTATGGCCTGGTATTTTCTCCGCCCCAGCCCTGACATTGGTCATTTTGACAATTATCCTTTATTTGTCTTGATGGAAGATGAAATGTAGAAACTGATATTTGCATTCTAGACAAGCTCGTTATTCTTGGAGTATCACTGCTCCCAGACATCTCCGTGGACAGTGTTAGGCAATATGTTTTATTATACAAACAACCGTCTCTGTGTCTGTCAGTCTATCATCTATCCACCAACATAATCTATCGATCATCATTGACAGACATGTCAGTCTAGAAAATGTCGGCTTCACCTTTAACCCACTCACAAAACACAATTTGTCTTCCATTTATCCTTTTTCCCTTTTGTATGTCTTCCTCTCTTCTTGCGGCCTCCACTTCATCCACTCCCCTTGCAGACATTATCCTCCTCCGCCTTGGGCTTCCCGTGGTTCCCTTTGCCCATCACATGGTTGCCGAGCATCGCTTGGTCCTTCCTATGTTCTGACGCTTGAACAAAATGATTCAGAAAGAAAGGAGGCAAAGGCTGAGAACAATTCTGCTCCCTTTGGAGCTTTAGGGGAATTCCTTAGTCCTTTTCCTTTGGTAAGTGACATCCACCCTTCCAGATCTTTGTATTGAAAAATCCCTGTGTTCATAGAGGCCTTCATTTTGCTGACAGTTCACATCAAATCCACCACAGTCTATTGCTTACTGACTTGCCTCATCTCTCTATGTCAAAAACTGCACAAAAGCTCAGACTCCCTTTTGTGCTCTCTCTCTCTCTGTGTCTCTGTCTCTGTCTGTCTCTGTCTCTGTCTCTGTCTGTGTGTGTGTGTGTGTGTGTGTGTGTGTGTGTGTGTGTGTGTGTGTGTAGGTTTTGTGCTTCTAATTTGAGGAATGGAATTGAGAACATAGTAGATGCTCAGTAAATATGGTTGAATAAGTGAATGAATAAAATGAGCATGTAGACGAATTTCTAAATGGCCTTATTAATAGAAAACATGGAGCTAGGTATAGGGGTGAAAACCTGAGGGAGATCAGAGGAATAGGAGCAGCTACATGCTAACCTCACCTCACCAACTCCGCAGCTTCCAAAAGTAAGATACTTCCTGTCTACCCACGCCTATATGCCTTGCTGTTCTGCCATCTGATTTGCTCACTCTGTCCAGCTACATCACTTCCTCTTCCTGCCCAGCTCTGTCACTTCCTGTCTATACAGACCTCCAGATCTCCATGATTTAACTAGTGTTGGAATGTGTGCCACCACACCTGGCTCTGTTCCCAATATGGCCTTGAACTCACATAGATACAGACAGATTCCCTGCCTCCCAACTGATAGGATTAAAGGCATGTGGTAACATTGCCTGACTTTTGTATTTACTTATAATGGCTGCCTTTTTCCTCTGATCTCCAGGCAAACTTTATTGATTAGAGCACAAATAAAATATCACTACATGAGCATCTATAGGAATGACTGCTAATCTCTGTCTTTGGGCCAGCTGTCCTTCCTGAGATCTTTTTGAAATTCTCCCCTCCAGCCAGATGTATTGTGGTAGGTGTATAGCACTCCAAAGCAAACTTTATTAATGCAGATTCATTATTTAGGTGTGTATTTGTTCATCAAAGAACTGAGTCCTTTCTTTTCCCCACTGCTTTTTTTTTTAGTGCCTCTCAGTCCATGGTATACAACAGACACTTAATTTGCTGAGTAAATGAATGCCTGTCTCCTTCAGGCCAGTTCTCTGTAAACGAGTTCTTTTTCTTTTCAACATCATCTTCCTGCCTATCCAGTCTCAAAGTTGCTGTCGACTTGGACTCTCCTACTTTTCCCTTTCCATGTTTACATCCACGGTCATCCTCCTCACAGGGCCAATGCTCTCCACACCTCTCACACATCATGACTGCCTCTTCCTTTTCTCCCTCTTCAGTCCATCCCCCTTAGAACTCTCTATTTTTGTCTTCCATAGCGTGCATGCCGTTTCCTCTCACTGATGCTTTCAATAGGTCTTTATACTAATTGAGGCTCTTCATTGCAGACAACAGAAATGGACTCTGATCACTTACAAGGAAGAAGAGTTTCCTGGGCGACACTGAGTAACTTCCAGAACTGACGGGAAGCCTCGGATCAGGCTTGGAGGCTAGAGCTATAATCCAGTTGGCAGAGTGCTTGCCCAGCACAACTGAAGCCGTGGGCCTGATCCTTAACACCACATAAAACTGTGTACCATGGTGCATGTCTGTAATACCAGGCAGGACTTGGGAGGCAGAGGTAGGAGGATCAGAAGTTCAAAGTGATCCTGGTTTAGGCTGGGATAGATGAGACTCTGTCTTAAAAAACAAAAACAAAAACAAAAAAATCCATCTTGAGAAGTAGGTAGGAGCTAAAAAATATCAGGCACCTGAAACTTCAACCAAGTTCTGT